AAACGAGTAATTCGGGACATGGCTGCAGCCTGTCGATGGTAAAGATGTATGATTTGTATGTATGATATTGAAAATATAAATAATATGCATGCACAAAATGGGAGCCTTTATGCATTTCATTTCTTGTAGTAACCAGGAAATAAACTCAGGTTTAGTAAAACAAAGAAAAATATAACATTGGAATATTTGAGAAGAACAATGGCGTGTAAAAAGTGGATAGGCTTATAAATCAAATACTCCAGGACTCGGTAAACATAAAATACCTCAACCCTTCATTAACATCTACCGGACATTGTTAGCTCATCTTCACTTAGCAGCTCTCAATGTTAATTTATGCAATGTTGCTTGTTTCCTGTGTGGTTAAACTGTTTTCTTTTTTTTTGTTCTACAAACTGCGAGTGCATTTTGTTCTTCTATTTACTTGGTTCATCACCGCAGAACCAGTTTGCAAATTACAAGCATCATTTGCATGCCTTCCTGACAGTGTTGTGATGACAGCCCGGCAAGCAGCTGGGCTGGTCTGATGTTGCCAATGTTTACTTCCTCTTTTAAAAAAAAAAAAAAAAAAAAGTCCTAGTGCCTTAAATTTAGGACAAACTTGTCCCAACGGTGCTTTTTTGGAGGCAAATAAAGACATGTCATCTGACTAGAACTGTATTTTTCTTTATCATTTGCTCATATTTATATATAAACATACAATGACCATGACTATAGTTTTTATTTTTATTTTGAGCAAGTTGCATAAACTGTTACCAGAATTGTTGCTTATTAGCATGTTGCGAGGGTAGCGATTTTAAAAGGGAAGCACATCTGCTTAACCCTATTCATTCTTAATGAGGAATTTCAATACAGATTCCCGGCTTTAACCACGAGGCCACAAGTCTGCTCTTCTTTTTTTACATTTATATCCATGCATGAAACTCAAATGGTGTCAGTAGCATTTTGTTTTTTAGCATCTGCTTAATAAATTTGTTTATATCTTTTGGGTATATATCCTGTCACACTGGGGGAATCCTCGTCTTGTCTGCTTAGTGTTTCAACCATGAAATCCACCAACTAGCCTCCCCTTTTAAAACTGTTGTTTCTGGAGAGTCAGAAGTTCATTAAATCCTTAAAGTCCTCATTCTTCCACTGTCTGCATGCAATCTTCCTGTTCTCTCTGGCAGCTTGAGGGTGGTAATTACAGACGTCACGGCAGATCTCTGTTGTCACAGAATAAAAGGAAAGTGGGGAGAATCATGGCTATTTTTTTCAGTGTCCTTGTAGCCACTGCCAAGTACAGAAGATGGAGAGAAGAACAGAGTTTTAGAATCGGGAGTGGGTGAATTCATCCCTTTGACTCTGTGGTTAGTTGCTGACTGAGGATAAGCAACAGCAGGCTAGATTGGAGGAGTTGGAGAGAGATGAGAAAGTTGCTTTGGTTTCTTTCACTGTGGACCTTTTCTCTTTTAGCGAATGTTCAGCAGTGACTCAAAACCTTTATTTTTAAAGTTTAAAAAAAAGAGCGTGAGACTGAAGCAGTGAAGATTATTGAATCTTTGCCGACCCTTTAATCCTTACCTTGTGACTATAGCCTGCGATGCAGTGCTAAAGTCTGCGCTTTATACCACCCACTCGTGTGTGTACATAGTTCTGATAGCCAGCCCCCTCCCTCCCCTCACACCTCCGTCTAAGACGGTTTCAGCCAGTTTGCGGCAGCTGGCTTTAAAGTGTTCAGGACTTGGCAGTGGTTTGACTCACGACTCCCCGGCTAGTTCCAGACATTACCTGTTCTTTACTGGAGCCCTGCTGTGCATATTATTAGTTTCCATTTGTGTGGCAGGTGGTGTCATAATCCAAAGGTGTTGTAATTTTACAAATTCAAAAGTCTCCTGTGGAGTAGTGATCACTTCTTAAGCTGTTTAATAATTCCCACTGGCAGAAGGATCACTTAAATTCAGAGTAGCTTGTTTATTAAATCTTAAAGGGCTTATTGCTCTTAAACTAGAACACAGGATGTTTTGCTTCCAGGCACAATTTTTTTCTTCTCTTGTTGGTAAAACATCACGTTATGGAGGTTGAGTAATTGGATCAATGGATTGCCTTTGACACAAGGAGAGGAAAAGTTTCATTCCATGTTTAGACAAAGGAGAAATGCTGGTATTTAATGATCTTCAAACAATCATTCTGTCTGCACTGTAGTTGGTTAACTGTTTGTCCCTTTATTAAAATTTCTTAATCATCTGGTTTACATTAAAGATCTACAAATTTGCTCTTAAAGTGCATTTTTTTTATTGTGTAGAGATAATGTAGAATTTTGCTTTATGCTTGAATATAACTTGGTAATCACTGAATTAATCTAATATTAAGGGTTTGAGTATACTAGGAAATGATGGCTTATGCACAATTTATTGATCTTTCACCTTCAGTTTTTCAATATTAAAT